CTCTGGGGAGCTCGACTGGTGTCCTTCTTGCAATCCCCATTCTCTATCAAGAACCTGTGGTGAGGACGCCATTGCCAGGGAGGGGGCGTAGATGCTGTCGCCCAGTCCAGTCGCTTCAGAGTTGCACCCTTCTTCCAAATCCATGGGAGTGCCCCAGGCCAACACCTCAGAGGTAGGCAGGACATCTTCGGTTACCAGCGGAGATGGAGAATATGTAGTAGCCTTAATGGTCGAAGGGAGGTTCACAGGTGGGGGAATGGCTAGGCATCCGTGGTGTATGTCAATGGGCAGGCCTGGCAGGGCAGGAACGATCTGTTTTTTCTGACCTTCATCAACATTGATGGCCCTCAAAAATTGTGGTCCTAGGACTGGAGCAATAGATCGTTTAGTGGGGGACACCAACTGTACACGGCGTTGCGTTCCAGCAGCAGGGGGGTTGTAGTCCTCATCCTCTGAGTCATCTAATCTGAACTTTGGGGTCTCGTAAAGGGCCCTTTCTCCAGATGACATCCCAGCCAGAAAGGAAGTGGTTGATGAGCCAACCCTGTGTACAGGGACCTGGCGGAGGAAACTGGGCATCTTGCTTTGGACGGCCCTAGCGAGGAGAGGGGTAGCAGACCATGAACTTGCCTCTACAGTAGCCGCACTCTTGGTCGGTAGTATGGGGGATTCAAGCACTACAGCTTGAGAGCCTTTGGTTGGGGAGGGTACCAGAGCTAGAGAGTATTCCGAGCTGTGATCAGAGTTAAACTGAATGAAGAGTCCTGTGGTGGTATCCTTGTTGAAGCCACACGTGGCTGAACAGCCCCTCCCGATTAGGAAACCCTTCACCAAAACCTCCATTTCTTTCATCGTGGCAACGGTCGCGTCAGCGACTATTTGCTGAACCAAATCATCAAACTGCAGGTTTACTGCATTCTGACACCTGTGAGAGTGGTGAAACTGTAGGAAGTTAAAGTTTCCTTTGGGTGCGACATATGACCATGTAGTTGTAGGGATAAGGCCACGGTCGGCCTAAGTAGCAGGCGCAAGAGACAAGGCCGCACAGGCTGTCTCAAGCGAGAAGGAGTGGTTGGAGTCAAATCGAACAGGGGACAACATCCTCGAAGGGGGGAGAGAATCCATAGAAGAGGAGGCTGTCAAAGATACCATTCTCGCCCAAACTATACTCAGTGATTACTGGGACCAGGCCATGGATATCTCATATTGAAGTATCTTCTAAGCAAGAATAACTACTTCTAACCGACCACCCGAAACGAAAAACACAAACAAGTAACAGTAGATGAAGTATTTATCGCGAGCAAAATAAGGTACAGTATTGGTTATGCTCACTTCCGACACAGAGTGCAAGAAGTAGGAAAAGTACTTAGAAGTCAATCTAATTTTATTTAAACTCGTACCACCAACACTGGCATACGATGAGCCCCCGCCGGTACAGGGATACCGCTAACCGGTATACCACTAATCCTAAGCTAACTAAGTCTATGGTCCCGCACCTGCCATCCTCGAGTCATGCCTGTACGGAAACTAATTACAAGACCATCAAACAACCCAGCGCCCGCCCCAGTCCAAGTTCGTGGCCCCTCTGGTATGAAGCCAACCAGCACTAAGCGTAGCCGAAGCTGAGCAAAAGACCAACCCAACCAGGTTCCTCGTCCAACAAATATAAAATCACTACCGCCCGGTCTGAACACCGTCCCGCAACACCTCCACCACAGTAGAAAACCAATAAAACTAAAATAAACATAAACTATAGGCGACACAATGGCAGAGAGGAGGTGACCAACATGTCCACCTCTTGCATCCGCATGCCTGACCGTCGACCCTATGAACCCACTTTGCCAAGTGCCTCCGAAGAGCGTAATAGTGAGGAGGACCTGTACCCACTGCCTGTTCTCCAAAAAACAAACTCATAAACAAAAGAAATACATAGAGGTGGTAACAGACCTAAATGGCCAGTGGGGCCTATCTCCCACCCGTGGTGCCTTGCCCCCTCCAGCCATGCCTATTGCCAAACTAAAGAAACCAAACAAACCCCACAAAACCCAGCACGCAAGACCCAAACAAGTCCAACCAGATGGTTGCAACCCACTATCCGCACAGGTGGCCATCAGCTAACCGGTTCATCAGGGAGCTTTGCAGCACTCAGCAGCTTCGCCCAACAGCCCAAGCTGGACTGGAAACACTTAATTAGACATCGCCCAACCTGACACATGCCCGACCAGTGCTCACAGGTGTCTCTCCCCCTCCAATCAGCCCCCCCCAAGCCCCACACACCAGGTGCCACAGAGCCCATCCAGCCCCCTCAGCCCCTCAGATAGATCAACCATCTGACAGCCACAGGACAGCTATACCTAACCCTACCAGGCAGCCACTGGTCTTGGCCACACCAACAGAGCCACAACCCTCGACTCCATATAGTTGAGGGGGGCCCACCAGACACAGCTGGGAGCCACAAAGGAGGCAGCACCAACACCCGAAGGCATCAGCACCTGCCACACCATCCAACCTAGCCAAACCAAAGTTCAACTAAGCCAGGAAAGAGTAAGCAGAGCCAGCAGAAGCAAGCCCCACAGGTCCGGCAACAGGCACGGACCGAACAACGGGCAAGAGGCGTCCCCAACCGACGCGACAAGAAGGGGGAGGGCGAAAGAACAGAAGCAGACAAACAGAAGGTAGGCCCCACTTGCAATGGGTGAAGCCACCAACCACAGACCACAACCGAACCACCCAGATGCACAGACAACACGAGTATCTGGCAGCCAATCGACCCACACCACCCCAGGTAGCAAGAAAACCACACCAGGGGGTAAAACCTTTCAGGATCAAAGCTATCCCCACCGAGGTGAGGAGGAGACACCTGACTGAATCACTGTAAATGCCATAAGGATAAAAACTGCAAGGGAACGGTGAGAAACAACATCGTAGGATTCTGACCGTAGAAACATGTAGTAACGAGGAGGGAGGGGGCCGGCGAGGCCCCCTCCCCAGAGGGTTGATGCGGCCGGTATGATGCGTTAATACTTGGGAAGGTCATCAGTCTAACTCAAGGGCGTTTTGTATCGCGAGAACTGAGGACTCCGTTAAAACTCAACAAAAGACATGAGCTGGTCCAAAGAACGACACGGGTGATCTCCCCAAACACAATGTTCAATCCCCCCAAACGAACGCGAAACCTGCAAGTAGACGATAGACAGGAAGCCGTAGACATTTTACTGAAAGGGGCTCATATGCGACCGCGATGAAGTGCTCGAAGTGACAGTATCGTGAGAAACTATCAGGCGACGAAACGAGAAGCAAACAAGTAGTCCGCCACACAACACCTAACAAACCTCAACACCAAAGACCCCAGGAACTACTGAGCGAACTCAGATATCTCCCCCAGAATCCGAGGCACCAAGGCCCATCATGATGGCGAAAGAAACGCTCGAGGCGAAGCGACGGCAAGGACGAGGAAAAGTACTTAGAACAAAGCGTGAAGAACCTATCCTCTTCGGCCGCATCAGCCTCCTTATATAGTGTTCTTCCCGCCTGTTGTCATGTGACCCAAAGTGGTCACATGTGCAAAACCAAATCATAACAAACTAGTCATGTGACCAAAGTGGTCACATGCTCAAAACCTATAACCTCATAGCAAGGTTATATGCGAAAACTCATAAACCAATCATAACGCAATAAACAAGTCATATGACTCGACTGAGTCATATGTGTGCAACACATGACCTCATAACGAGGTCATGTGTAAAACATAAATCATATGTGTAAGGCATACTCGCTAGGCACACATCTCATGACTTATAATCAAGTCATGTATGAAACATAACAAATCATAACATAATAAGTCATATGACCTAAATGAGTCATATGCGTGAAACAATAACATACCTATGACTCATAATCATGAGTCATGTGAAAACCTTTTCCATACCAAGCCATGTTCATGACAGCAAGGGAGATTTTCAAGAGATTGGCGTTCATATACCCAAACAGGAAAGCTCTTAACTGTTGTCCATGGGTGTCTAATAATTTGAGCCACCAAGGCAATGTTCTGGAGGCAGTAGAAAAAGGCGATTATCATGCCCTTCTCTGCAAGGCTCATTTCTCTCCAGGTGGTTTTAGGTGTGGGTCTTTTCTTTGTAGCATACTTTGTATTTCCAGAATGCTTAACTATTGGTAAAAAAGGTAGAGGAAATTAATAAATTAATTAATTAGGTAAAGGAGGCTTCGGTGGGTGTAGATTTGTAAATGGTCACAGTCACGATGGGGTGAATAGTCATGATCAACTTTACACTTTGTTGAAAGGTGGCATTTTGGCAAGGCAACTTAGTCATCTGAGACCGGTTTCACGAACACTTCTGCCGAGTGACTGTAGGTATCATAATACTGTATGATATTTATGTGTGCAATGCCTCTTGACATATTTGTCTCATTTACGTAAGCATCTCTCCTCTGCAAATCAATCCAGTTGTTTTCCACTATGTCTAATATTATATAAAAAAAAAAAAAAAAAAAAAGAAGTGGGCAACATCAGTTTTTTTTACTCACATAGTTTATCAACTGACCTATTAGACTACTATCCTGGATGGCTTTGTTTTCGGTTCCATAGGCGCCGTGACCATGTTGTACTTTACGGTACACACGGTGTCTACTCGTGGCAGGTGAATAATTCTCTGGTGCCTTTGCGATCGTTATGATGCATCAATAGTTGTCTTAAACAAACAGCTTGCCGGGTTTGAGAAGCTTCACCAGTCCCGATCCGTGAATCGATCTCTCAATTCTATGGTGTACGATACAGTACTGACCTTAGCCGTTTCGGCGTAGTAGCAACTGGGGTGACCCATTTTTTCCTTTGCCTAAAAATGCTTCTTATCCCAGAGACTCAAACACAAATACCAAACATGACGTAGCATTATAGTACAAAGAACTAGCCTAATTACAGTTTGACCCTTGACAGAAAAATAGGCCAACCCGGCGATACCCAACATCATTTCGAGTGAAAGCTACACTAATTCCATTCCTGAAACATCACCCAACAGCCCACTTCCCATAAGCTCCCCTTCCCCAAGCCCTCCATCACCCAACAATCCGGCCATTCCATCATCTCCCATAGCAAGATCAAGATCTACGCCTTGGGTATCTCCACCAACACCCATACCCGGTTGTTGCCCACCTGTAGCATCAACTCCACCGCCAACGGCAGCGTGCTGATGCACAGGGCTGAATGGCGTCAACTGGGTCTCAACCTTCCTCAAAACGCTTCTCAATGCTTCAGCTTTATCACCTTCGTTCCCGCTTTCTTCCGCCTCTTCGGCCCTTAAAGCTTCTAAAAGCCCCATCTTTCCACCCCCTCCCCCGGTTCCCCCTTCTTCTGTTGGGGGACCCATGGACAGAATCATGCTCATGGCAACATCCTCGGCGTATCCTTGAGCCGTGCCCTGGATCCGACACTTGACTACCTCGCTGATGATTGCTCCGACTGTGTTTCTTGCTCCCGAGACCCTCCAAGTAGCGAGTATCAGACGATGCGTATAGGTCGCGCTCGGTCGAACAATATTGATGTCGCCTTGGCTCGTGCTCCAATTTACCAGGCTCTGGAATGCAAGCCCCAGTGACTGCACCAGACCACCACCGCCAGCATGGTGGGTCCAGTTCTCAAGCTCATCCCTTGTAGCCGCACCGTTACGCTTGAAAGAGGTGTATGGCTGCAGGTTTGCAACGAGCCCTTCCACAGCACTTTGATGGCTACCCGCGGTCCCACGCCGGGCTAGCTCTCTGAGCACACGCTCAAGATGTCTAGCGGATATGGAAATCACAGTTTTGTGAACTTCTGAGGCGTCGGAGGAGATACTTGATGGCACCAAAAGGGAGTGGAGAATCTGGACTGGAATGGAAATATCCTCATGAGATTCCCATAGATGATTTCCTAGCCACCCGAGGCCGCCTACTAGAGAGGGAAGTAGGAAGGCTTCAAGAAGGACTAGCACAAAATCGTTAACCTCCGTTTAAGACACTCGGGTAGCGATGGGTGAATGCATACATGCAAACCCCTCCTTCAGGGTATCTATATCTAAAACTCCACGTTCACAAGCCATCACAGACTGCATGAATAATGTTGGTACCAGTCTGTAAAAATCCTGGGGTCTACAAGAGCTCATAAGACCGTCACTTATCCCTTCACCTTCAAAAATCTCCCGGATCCATCCTCCAAGTTGCGCATGTTTATCTGACGACTCGAAGTTCTCGATCCTTTGGCTTGTAGATCCCTTGGACAGAAGCTGAGGGATGAAAGAATCGGTATTTGGTGCGCTAGATGATGTCAGGTCGGTGACCTGTATATCATACCGGTGTATTAAAGTCAAAACTAGAAGGAGGATGTATCCAAACTCCTCGTATACTGGTTGATATTCGCCTGCATTCTCTTGTTAGTGCTCAAACAAACCTTAACGGCGATGGGGTGTTGGGATGAACCTTGGTCCTCTTCATATCTCCAAGTATCCAGCAGTTCGCATAATGGCTCCAAAAGGTATACCGGTTTGACAAAAAGTAACATGACATCCAAACTACTTGTTTTCCTCGCCAGAAAGCTGCATATACTCCTAAGTGGCATGGTCTCTTTCTGTTCACACATGTTCCGCATAATCTAAAACGGTTGGTCAGTGTGTACTGAAAATGCAGTTACTCGGACATGATAGTGGATAATCACCTCGACAACAGCTCTAACAACAGCCCCCGAGTTTCCCTCGACACCCTCGATTTCTTCAAGCAACCTTTCCACTCTGTCGGGGTCCATCGCACATTGATTCATTAAATCCCCTGCATCGTATCTTCCGGCAACAGGCAATGCCCCAAGTGGCAACTCTCCTATGATACCTTGGATATCTTCTTCCCCTACAACCCCATGAAGCGCGCAGGCAAAGAGAAATTCCTGCCTTAAGTCTACTAGGGTATTGAATAACATATCCGCGTTCGGGCTCGTGTCGCGGGAATAAGGATCGAACGAGGAAGGCGGGGGGTTGGCAAGGGTAGAGGCATCCGTCCTGAGAAGAGCCTGAGAAAGAGCATAAGATGCAGTCATCGGAGAAGGCGACAGACGCGACAGCAAGATAGGGACCTTGTTTGTGAGAAAAGAACGGAGAAGAAATAGCGTGCTAGCTGCTTCACTACGAAGAATGGCATTAGATAACACATCGAGAACAGCAGTTACGAAGTCCACAAGAAGAGTGTTAATATCGTTCTATCAAGTCTGGATTCAGTATATCGCCCGGAATTCGGATGAACCCTGTGGGGCTAAACAAACCCTGTATCTGCTATAAAGGTATCCGATCACCGCTTCATCGTCAACCTGCGGTCGCCCCGCCAACTGGCACACATAGTATTAGCACTTGATTATAGCCACCTGGAAATCTCCGAGCTCTCCAGCCCGAGACACTTAAACTATAGTCATTTAGAATTAAACTAACCAAACCATTAAGCCAGACAAACAGCCCACCCCTTGCCCAGACTACTGGTTCATTATCCGCCCCATCGCCCATCCCCATCATCATTCCGTCAATCGTTTCAGCACCCTTAGTGCTTCGCTGGTTTCTGTTCTGCTGTGGGCTCTGCTGGCTCTGCTGATGCCGAAATAAGGCGTCCATCCTGGCGGCCAGCGTCGGATTTTGGACTTGGATATATTGCATAAACAAGCTCAAGCTTGTTTGAAACATCAATTTTCTCTCCTTCCTCCCTCCTTCCCCTAGTATTCTTCTCACATCCTCATTACCTCCAATAGCAATAGTAAGCTCAGCCAATGCTTCCAACCGTCCTTTTCCGACATCCATAGATCCCGTCATTCCCGAAACGTCGTCCCCGGGTTCATCTAGCATTCCCGCTCCACTAGCAGCCATAACAGCCTCCATCCAGTCACTCAATGCCTGAATAGTAGCCCATACAAAGTCGTTTGACCTTGGTTTATGCTCTCTCACGACTGTCGCCAGAACTGTGAAAATGTCCTCTTCTAGAGCTTCCCGGTTTGTATTCATGCCATTGCCTCCACCCGTAGCACCGTGACCTGAGGAAGACGATGTTGACACTGCAGGCCTGGCAGAAGACGTACACAATAGTGCAACCAAAACGTCTGGGAGGCTGACGATGTCTTTTTCAACTAAACACTGGATGTACTCCAGGTGCAGGGGGTCGACTCTGGACGAAACACTTGGAGAAAGTAGTATAGGGCATATTGAAGAGGACGGGAGTGGAGATTTGAGTAACAGCTGGGAGACGTATTCTCCGAACTATAGATTTGTGGCTAAAGATCAGCTATTCAAACCCTACCGGTAGGATAGATTTGGTAGATACGGACTGTATCAACGGGTGTGCGCTTGAGCAAACATTTACGGAAGAGGCCATGGTATGTCTGCGCGCGAAGAGATGTACCAGATGAGGAAGACATGGCGGGGTGGGGGTGGTTGAAAATGTGTATCATAGAAAATGCAGTTTGCCGGGGGGGTTGTGAACTCTGAGCAGGAGCTTATATAACCTCATGCAGAATAATCTCAGGGTTAGGGCTCGGGAATGGAGGCTCTGCTCCTAGGCGACACTGTTTGATACCCTGCTCGTCCAGTATCGCATACTGTATCGCCAAAACTTAGCTTAGATCTTAGTGTAGTATCAATAGTAGTCGTGATCACAAACGTCGTTCATAAAAGTCGGGTTCGCCCAACTGTCTTTCACTAATTTGGGGCCTTCCTGCCTCGCCTCCAATCCGACTATTGCTAAGAGATACGGTTCATACGGCACGCACGTACGAGAGTACAGCTCGCCCACTATACTGCTCATAGAGCCATAGTGAATCTACACAATATTCCCTGCCCTCGTTTTTACTAACAAAAAAAAAACACTGACTCTCGCTACACTATCGCCTATAAATACTCAAGCTGCCTCCTTTCCCATGAACTCCACCACTAGGACACCAACTGGGTTTAAAGCTATACTACGGTACAAACCCACCAGCTCTGCGCTATTCATTCCCAATAGGTATCTGATTCGAATCAAACCCAGATTTCTTCGTTTCACCAACAAACCATATTAGATGCCTGCGAAGCTACGAAGGCTTCGGAAAGTAGGAGTCATAACTCACTTCCACGGCTACCTGCCCGGGGCGCTCTCTTTCCCAACATCCAGTCCTCCATCGCGAGCCATCCAGACCATACGTCCTCCGCTCCCTCAAGCTCTTCCTCAGAAATCTTCCTCAATGGCTGCAGATATGGAATACATTCATCTGCAATCATATCATAGTCCCGCTTAGCCGTCGCCCACCCCCCACTCTTTGCTGCAAAGAGAAAGTTCCTCCTCTCTTGTTCGTGCTGTGGCCCAATGCCACACTCCCAGTCATCTCCAAACCAACTGCGAAGGATCGCCGGTGCATCAAACCCTGTAGCAACTAATCGACGAATATAAGGATATAACGATACCCAGTCGTATGAAGGCATTGTGGGGTGGTGAATTTGTGTTTGAGCAAGGGGAGGAGGGGGAGGGTGGAAGCCCCCAAGAGGCCCAAACGACAGCGGGGGGCGAACAGGTGTTGATCCAGTGGGCGGGTTGGAAGATCCTGCGGCGCGCTGGAACGGCAATTTGATATTTATGAACGCGGCCAACGCCTGGCAAGGATAACTGTGCTGAGCGACCTCAACAAAGTAACGTTGGCAGCTCTGATGTTTGGGATACCATGCGATGATGTCGAACCCTCCAACAGCACCATCAGTTTCACCGCCTAAGCTACTCGACGGGCCTGACGGTTGTCGATGTGAACCCGATGCCGAGGCGTTACCGTTATTGAAACATGGAAATGACGATGCATATGAATTGAACTCCATCCTTTTCCCCGGCTTCCCCCTTCGATGGATCGTGAGGGTTGTTGGAGGGTCCAAAGCCCAAAAAAGAACGAACCTAAACTTTCGGATAGCGGAGAGTTTACCTAGGGGGCAGCTGCATCCACTGCAAACAGTTTCCCCTACGCTTCGCTGGGAGATGAGGCTCAAAGAGGTTTGTTGTATTATTGTAACCCGGGGATAGTTGATCAGCGGAGAAAATGGTGTCAACGCTCCGACTATCTATTGCGAACGCAGATTGGGCCGGTTAAACAACTTCGAATGGATGAGGCAGAGAGGCACTTTCAGGACAGGATTTATCTTCGATGTCATGCGGCCCCCTCTAATACCGCTCCGTGCTGGGTGCTACTTATATGTCCGTCTGCACCCACCCGTCTCCTGTCTGTTTAGATGTCTTCTTCTGCTGCAGTTGAGACATGCGAGTGAAGGTGCGGATGCAGATCATTGCGGTTACCGGTTCGAGCCAACCCATCGCAGGTACCGTAGTGGAAAGGCGACGGGATAAAAGGAAAAACCTACACCAGGTTCAGCTTCTGCCTCAGTGGGTCAAAGGCGAAATAAAGATTCGGGATGAGTGCAGTACTGCTTCTGCGTCAGGAAAGAGATGTTTTAACCGAGAAGCACATATTCACAACCTGGCAAGAACTCCCGTAGATTTTTTTATCCCAGACCCAATATCATGATGTATCATATTGGAAGACTTCTTACACCAAGGGATTGGCATGCCGCCACTGCATACCGCTCTCTCCAGCAATCTCTGCGATCCCTCGCATAGCAAACTCCCGTATGCGAGATGTCAAACCGGCGTCCGAGTGAACAAACTCAGCCGGGGGTTTGCAAACGCCCAGCTGCTTCTGTGCCCGGCTCGGCTGCCGGGGTGTCATCGCTGAGAGAGAGGGCCCATGGTTGGTGGGCACTCTCGACATTATTGATTTTTCTGCCACTGGAAAGTCTACTCGGGTGTGCATAACTCTTGTCTACAGAGAATTGCACAGGATCAGGAGAAATGGTTTTCGAATCCTAACAGACACACCGGAGTAGAATGTTTAACAATTTTGAGAAGATGCAGGCAGGCGGGTTGCTGTCCATTCCCGACACTCTAAACACTACCAAATATGGACACTCTGTTGGAAAGACGAGTGAGTGTGCAGGATTTCACACCTCACCAAGCCCTCGGCCCTACCGTGGTAGGAAACCAAGTATTGTATCATATCGGTGCCAGCATGAATGCCCTCTTGAAGCCCGGCAGTAAATACGGTAAACCACCGGTACCCTATCAACCAGTCAAATTGAGTATCACCACTCAGGGCTCTAATCTCCGTTTTGAGACAAAAGCTCCCGAGAAAGCCTGGTACTGAACATAACAGGAATGGGAAGATCCCTTTAACCAATATCAAGAAACCTCAAGTTCTTATCAATCCACAATCAACCCAAATCAGTTTGTCTACGGAGATCAAGCTCTGCCAAGGCACTTCCCGATTTGACGAGTTAATGCGGTATTATGGGACACGCACTCAAGTACGGTAGATGGTCTACGAGCACATTACGACAAATTTCTTCGGCATCTTTTGTGGCGCGGCCAATTTGTTTGTCCTGCGTTCGTGGACCTCTATACATGCAGCAACAATAGCAATCACCGAGGAAGAACGCTCCCATCAACACCTCGCCGGAGTGGTCCCCCGTAGCACTATGGTAGCTAGCATGATCCGAGTAGACGTAAAAGAATTGGTGTTTCGAAAATTAATCCTTCCCATGTATGATACCAGACATGTCGACATCAACTTTATATCGTACTCGCAGTTTGTAGTGATCACTTACCACAAAGTAATCGGGCCACGTGAAATCGCGCGTGAGATTTTTCAAGAACACCGTTTTACTCTACAGTACGTGTACCGACTGGCATCATACGGGGGTATGTCGCCCGCACCTGGACATCAGATCTGCGCCAGTATTCGAATTGGGTATAAGATGTCCGGTAGCCATTCTCGCCTTGATTCCCGAAAATAAAGGTCATGTAACTCGTATTCCAAGACGGTAAACCACCCCATGAACTGGTGGTAGCGTGGGAACTATGCTAAAACAAACAGGTTGCATGGACTCTCGGCTCTCATATTACCGTAGTCTCAAACTCTGGTCTCCTGACGCTCACTGATTGATACAGAGTCCATTTTTGTAAATACTTGCACAGCCCAAGTATTATAAAAGGGGGGGGAATGTTTTTTTCCCCCACCAATATCATATCCATGCGCTCTGGATGTCTTGCCTTTGCTTTCCCCACCCCTAAAACGGCGGTATAATGCTCCCGTACTCGTCCCAAGAAAGAGGTACTTGTCCCAGGCCAAAAAAGAACCCGAAAACAGGGAGGGGTATACGCAGTTGGTGGCGGGGGATTAGCAGGAAGGTAAAACACCAAAAAGAGTATTGTGAACTTGTCAAGCAGCTCGCATTGAAGGAAAACTGAATGAGTGTAATTATATAATTAGAATGCACAAAGATGTAGAAATGCATCAACAAGAATAACATCTTGCGTCCCATATGTTCTGTGCCCCTGATGCTTCGGATGCTCCAAACACAAGCTCCCAATCTGGATGCCTCTCCTCTACTGCCATTCTCACTCAGTGATAGCTCATTTCGTCTATGCACTTTAATTGGTAGCTACCTGAAGAGGTCCGGTGGATACCAACGAAGCGGAAGTGGGAATGGAAGATGGCGAACATCCGATGGCGAATTATAACCAAATTACAGAGTATGGAAGAAAGCTCGCCAGCACTAGATTAACAATGCAGGCGCCGGTCGAAGTGACAGATAGTTAGGGCAATAAACATTAAAGCCGGAGCCACGGGCTCAATAATGGTAACAATAGCAAAACTAAGGCCAAGTTTGTCTTATTCGACAGACCTCTTACAAGTGCTGCACTAGCACAGCATTGCACAAGAAAGGAAATTCGGTATAACCTACTCTAACACAGAGATCTTGCGAGGATATCAACAATCCTCCACTAGCAACTCCGACATCCCACACGAAGAATCCTCTTAACTTCAGTTCGTACAGAAAACACCAAAAACATACCGGGACTCCGCAGGAAACCAAGAACCCCCCACCTAGTTTCTGCGTAGGGAATCAGTAGCACATCTTAATGGTGTCGGCCCAACTCAGAAAACCGCCCGCTGCGTTCGGATGTGCCGAGACCTAGAGCATCTGCAACCCATCAAATTTCCATTGAAGAGAAAACACAGTCCGCATAACATACACCATAATAGATATGGTGGCCTTTGGTTTCCAATGATTTGTACCAATAATTTGTTTCTCCCCGCTGCGTTATTTGCTCTAACCCGATACTCCATCATTTGGGAAAATCGGCAACCTCTGGGCACTCGTAAGGGACGAAAGTACGGTATCCCAATCTTCCAGTCATACCAACCCTCACCTTTCCAGCAAAGCACCTAAACCCTACTAGCCGTTTGTGACAAATAGGCCAATATAGTAGAACCGGGCGTCGACAGGGAAGACGATTCACGAAGCTCAGCCAGCAGCAAATTGAACCAAGCATAAAAAAACAAAAACAAAAAAACACGATGATTCCAACGCTGCTCGCCGACAATCCATAAGACATTTCGAGTGATACTAGGTGATGATAACGAGGTCTCCTTTTTTTCCTCCCTTCTAGTGTATCGCCAAGGTAGATCGGGTGCGGTGAGTGAGATTCGGGTACGAGCACTGAGCTGCATGATACAGTATGCGTGATAGCTAGCTACCCTTTCATCTGGTGTGAGCATGCTTTTTTAGGCCAGGGTGCTTGGCGGTTTACCTGTGAGAGTGCGACCCGGGTTACAAGGTCTGCGGTTACTTGCTGCGGGGGGGAGGGAACTGTTTTTTTTGGTTTTTGGTTCAGTTCACGAGATCTCGCTCTCCTAAAGCAGCGGACGCGGAGCCATCCAGGATAGCGACAGCCATCGCGGTTCCAGTCAAGTCCGCACAGTATGTTCCAACATACTGAGACCTAGTCCTTTCCACCGGCTCCATTCCTTATTCCTCGATTGGTTCCAATAGGTTGGGTTCACCCCAGGACGGCTTCCTCTATCTTCCTCGTACGGTGCCTCTATTTCCTAATCCCCCCGCATAGAATAATTTCCAGTAGTCCATATCGCATCTTAAACCATGGAAACTTCGTCATATCGTCCTCCAACCTCTCCGGGGCACAGTAGCAAAACCGTACTCGGGGACTCGTGTGAAATTTAGGTATTTAGCACCTCCGCTTGTAATTTTCTGACGTTCGCGAACACAACTGGGTCTGCCTATGTGCCAAGATTAGATGCACTTGACATGCAGAGAAGTAGTTCCACACTGACCTTTCCACTGAAACAGATACAAGTACAATCACATCTTGCTACTCAGATGGCTATAATCTGAAGAATCTGTTTGATATAGTGAGAAATCTGAGACAACAAGCCAAGTTTTGGTTGAAGGAAATTCAATGTTCACAGAGATTCATATGAGACAGCTGGGTATTCGGACTATCGAGATATAGGACAGCAAAGTATCACTATATAAGAAAATAAGCAGCGGTAAACGTAGTCCACCAACTGTCACCTCAGTAATAATCGCCACTGTCAGAACCGTCCTTCTCAAGAACCTCCCTCGAAGTTTATTCACATTTCCTACTCCCCACTGGCATTCCCTACTAACCTGGAATTCTCTTAGGACTTTACCTCTATATCTTTTTGAATTCAATTTCCCACAGTCTACTTTTTCAAATATTATTTTACAGGAATGAAAAATTATAAAAGTTGAAAAGGTAGCTTTCAGTAGAGTTTAATCAATTGTGTGAAAGTGAGTGAAGCAAAGGTCCTTACAAATAGAAACTGGGAATCTAGAAAGCTTACAATAATTGAATATAAAAAGAGTATATCAGATTCTTCCTTTTAGACCATTTTGAGCAGAGGTAAAAGCTTCATAGTTGGAGGATCCAAGAGGGAATTTGGAAA